ATGGTCAATGATAACTTTAAATACAACGGGTAAATATGGTCAATGATATCATAAATTATATTTTATATTCGATAAGTTCAACTTAATTGATGATTTTGTTTGTTAATATTTGCTTAACTACAAAATATTTTAAAGTTTATAAAGAATCTCATTTTATGTAGGTTCTTGGTACTTTTTTATTTGTACATATTCATTTTTCATCCCATATCCAAATACAAATTTAAATGCGGATCTTACATGTTTATTAGAAATATATGTATATTTTTTCAAAAAGTATGACGATCATATAATTAATTTTATCATATATCATATGTTGGATGTTATTAGTTTGGTTGGGACACTCATTATATTCAAATAAATAATATATAATTTTTCAAATTTAGTATTTCTTTTTTTATAATAATAAGATGTTAAACATAAATAACTATGTATAGTATAAAGTCTTAGAAAAGGTTTTAAGTAAAAACCCCTCCGTGCAGCGAACGGGATACACACTAGTTATAGAATATAAGTTAGTCTATATATTTGAGGCAAAAATGCATTGTTAGTTTTAACACCACAAATTTTAGTCCCAGTGTTCCAACTCTTGGTCCAGTGATTTAACATTTTGCTGCAATTTCAGTCATCAAATACTGGAATTGCAGCAAAATTTTAAATTACAAGACTGAAATTGCAACAAAATTTTAGATTACAAAACTTAAATTGCTAATCGAAAATCTGAAAATTTGGGAATTTGTTGCAATTTTAGTCCTCAATTGACTGAAATTATAGCAAAATATTAAATTACAGAACCAAAAGGCGAAATGTTTGAACCTTGAGACTAAAATTGCTATGTCGTTAAATCAACAATACTAAAAAATGCAATTTTGCCTCTGTGTGCTTGAAAGGTAGATCAAAGAGGAAAAAAAAAGTAGTATTGAGCCACAAGGTACAATCACATAGAAGCATGCACTTACTGAAGGTACCAAGGTACAAGTCCTTGTTGCCTGCAACTCTTCCTATTCTGGCTTGCCACCTTCCATGCTGATGATGCCTGCAACACTGAGTTTAGACCAAACAAATTGATATAAAAAGAANNNCAAATTAAAAAATTACTAAAAAAAAAAAGCATGGGAAAAACATGGACACAGTTTTATGGATGGCTTCTTAAATCCCATACTTAGATATATTGTGGTGTTATGGTACACTGTACTTTTAATTAATGTCATATGGCACATGATTATTGTTATTGCCTTTTCCTATATTATTGATTGATGATAATTGGTGAAAGGAAAATCTATATATTTATATATAAAATTACCCTAATGAGAATGTGTGTTCGCTAATGTTAGGTAGGTCTAATGGTTAGGCAAATATAAGTATGTATTTTTTGTTATTAATTATGACTGGTCGACATGATTAATTGGACAATTTATGAAACTTGAAAAGTCTAATTTCTATTATTTTTACATTTATTTGTACTTATATTTTGTAATTAACCCTTTGTATAAATAATAGTAAGAAAAATGTCAGCAAAATAAATGCAGAAAATCAAACAGTTGGAGACTTCTTTGACACATAGTTTTGTGGTTCAATTTTTATTCATTTCCTTTTGCATTTTTCATGTTATTACTTACTAGTTACCTTGTTACTCCTCTGTACATGGATGCTCCTCTTGAAAACCCACTGCTTTTTCTAGTGGAAAAACAAAAAATAAAAAAACGTTAAACCTCAAATTCATTATCATATTTAAGCAAGGTTTACTTTTTAAATTAAAGTTCAAGAAAAAAAAAAAGAAAAAGAATTGTTACCTTCTTAAATGGGCAACAAATTCTTGCCTACTCATGTTTTTCATCTCTTCAAGCTCTTTTTCATAGTTGCTGAGCTGATTTTGTCACAGGAATAAGCAGAATAAGTTTTGTACTTAAATTGACAGAAATTATTGAACATAATAACATTAAGGAAAAAATTACAGGAAAATTTATATGTGTAGTCACTCCCCAGTACTTCAAAGCAGCCAAATCATAAGCTCTAGCTGCTTTTTCTTCTTGATCATATCCCCCTGAAGAAAGGGCCAAAAAAAAAGAAAGGATTAATAAAAATAAATCTTTATATTTAAATACATGAAAAATATTTTAATTTTCAATATTAGTATTCCTTAACAAAAAAAGGTGGCAAAAACTTACCGAGGTACACTGTTTCTCATTCCCAGAAGGCAGAGGCAGATAAATATAAAACCCAAAAAAAAAAAATGTTAGAATATATTTTCTCAAGCATTTAAAAGTTATAGTACAAAATATATATAATAATGATAAAAAATATAAAACATATTTAATGTTTTCTTTCACCTTGCCTTCCTTTCCTCGTCTGCCCTTCCTTTCTGCAACTGCTGTCCCACAAATGTGCCTCATATCTTCCTGTCCATCTATGCCTATAAAAAAATATTATCTTTTTTTACCATTCCCTAAGAAAAACAAGGAATAAATTTATTCAATTAGGTGTACTATATTTTCCAATCATTAATTGCAAAGTTACACTGAGCTTTTTAGTATATTTCTTCCTTTTTTTCTTATTTCTTACCAATTTGAACATTTTTTTTTTTTGTTGTGATGAAAAATCATGGCTAACAATCAAATAAATAGAGAAAAATAAGATATTTATTCTTTTAAATTGACAAATTTCAAATTCAAAGGATTATTTCTCTAATTATGAAATTAAAAAAAAATGATTAATAGATAATGAACCTGGTAACCCCACGATACCGAGAAGTTCTTTGCCCAAAAGTATCGATCGATTTACGAGGCAGATTCTCCCTAACCACCCCAGCCTTTGCCGCCAAACCCCGCTTCCTTACTTCCGCCGCCACCGGCGGCGGCGGCGGCGCCGTCCGAGAGTCGGGGCTCACGGTCAAAGACAGCGCCTGAAAGTCACAGTGACCATCCCCCTCCGCCGCGGATTTCTCATCCTGCGTAGACGGCCAACCCTTGAGACCTGAAACCGCCGCCGCACCACCGCCGGAGAAACCCGGCGGCGCCTGAAAACCACCGTAGTCATCGTACGGTTGGAGAAAAAGAGATGGGCTGCTGAAGCTTTCCACAGGGAGATCGCCGGTGAAGCCCGGCGGCGCGTTCATGTTGATTTCTCCGGCGGGTTCGTTCGCCGGCGGGTTCGGGTAGCATGACCCGAGGAAGTCTTCGAATTTCGGGCATCCGTCGGTATTCGGGTCGGGCCCTTTCGTCATACCATTATCGTATCTCCAGTCTGATAACAGAGCAACCATTAAAGATTCAATCTTTATCATACCCTTCGATTAAAATTGAAATAAAAAATAGCAATATTTCAATCAGAAAAATGAAAAAAAAAAAAGTACTTATATCGAAGGCAAACATAAAAAACCCCATAAAGGTGAAAACTTGCAGCAGAACATATATTTACATACAGTGTTCAGAGCTCAAAGGCAACAGAGGATGAGCATGAGAAGAAAACACGCCGCCTTTATCCTCCTTCTCCTCCTCCACCACCGCCGCCGCCGGTGGAGCCGAGCCACCGGCTTCACCGCCAAGTTTTAAGTGGGGTGTCAAAGAAAAGCCCAGCCAGTTACTACTCATAGTGCTATTTTGATCTGTTTATATTTTTCTGCTCTGTATTTGGATAAAAATGAAATCTTTAAAAAGGTGGGAAAAAAAGTGCCCTTTTTGTGTTATTTATTATTCCTTTTCTCCTCAGCTCAAAACTGAAAAACCCTCACCAGATTGGGGTTTTGTGGGTGAAAGATATATTTTGGCATAAGTTCGAAAAGTTAAAGAAGTTCCTGCCATGTTTAGTAAGGGAAGTCTTTGTTACCAAAATTAGTTCCTATTATATTTGCTCTTATGATTTGTTTACGTGTTGTAGGATATTGATGCTATAGGAAAGGAGCTTCACGCGCATGGCACATCACGAAAGAAAAGGAAAACTTTGGATAAGTAAGGCAAGAGAATATGTGGAGAGAGAAGAAGAGTCCTTTACATGGTAGGACTTTGGGGACATGCCATATAGAGACCAAGGATTGTGGGAGACCTATGAGATGATATAAAAACCGATCTTGAAGGTTGAAGGCGGCTGCTGAAACTAGGGCAATCATTTATCTCCTTCAAGCTTCAAGTTTCACGTTGGCTACTTGTTTCATTTTGTTCTTGTTTCGGTTCAGTTCTTAATTGATTCGATCTTTGAGAAACTGATACCATTTTGATTGTATTGTTTTCAATTATTCTGAGTTGAACTTTTTGATCATTTACACTTAGGGAGTAAGTGTGAAAAATAAGTCCACGGGACGTGGCCGGAGAAGTAATTGATAGGCTAGATCATAGTTGTGGTTAGAATAGAAGGGAGTTCTATTTTGTAAATCCAAACTATGTATTCAATAGTTATCAATGAAAGAGCTCTGAGGGGAAGTGGGATACTTCCCTGAAGAGTGTTTTAAATCTTTGATTGTCGCTTCCGCAAATTACAAACTTTACAATTGTTCGTACAACAATACAGAACACTCGGGATCATCCTATACGTTTCAATTGGCACCAGAGCAGTGTTCCTGTCTACATACGGGATAAAGATCTTTGGGACTGGGATAGGTCACCATGAGTCACGACGGACTATCCGTTTCGCGCCCTCCATTTCTTGATGGTTCGAACTATGGATACTGGAAATCCATGATGGTCATCTTTTTGCGCTCTCTGGAAAAAGGGACCTGGCAAGTGGTGGAATCGGGATGGTCATTACCGGTTATGCCGAAAGTTCCATCTGAATCTAAAGAAGGTGAGTCCTCGGATGCAAAATCTTCAACTTCGACTACCCGTGTTCTAGTCGAAAAACCTAGAAGCATTTGGACTGATGATGAAAGGCAAGCTGAAGAAGCAAATTTTCGAGCGTTATATGCAATCATGTCGGCTGTTGATCCCACTCGTCACAAGATGGTCATTCAGTGCACAACTGCACAAGATGCATGGAGGATTCTGGAAAGGCAATTTGAAGGTACAAATGCTGTGAAAACTTCGAAGCTTCAAAGGATCTCGACTGAACTCGATGAGATCCGCATGAGAGATGATGAGACTATAGATATGTACTATGCACGCTTCTGTGATCTTGTAAATCAAGCGCAATGCTTGGAGAACATGTGTCGGAGGCAAGACAGGTGCAAAAGCTGATGAGAACCTTGCCGGACAGATTTGGGATAAAGATAACAGCATTGGAAAGTTTTCAGAGGATACAAACCCTAGGCATCGATGATCTTCTCAGTGATCTTCGCACCTTTGAGATAAATAATGGGTTCGATTCGATGAAGATAGGCAAAGGGAAAGGATTGGCGCTTAAGGCAAAAGTTCGTACCACAATTGTGGAAGAAGACGATTCGGATGAAGAATCTTTTGATGCTGATGAAATTATGAAGGCTCTTACCGTACTTACCAAGAACGTGTCGAAACTGAAGAAATTTCAGAAGAAAAGGTTCCAAGGAATCAAGTCTGGTGAAGGAGGTAAGAACCTTTTACAGCAATCCGGAGAACGGCGCTCAGGCTTGCAGCTGTCAAAATTCCAGAATGCCAATCAAGGTGTTGAAAAGGACCAGTGTAGGGAGTGTAAAGGGTTCGGGCATTTTCAGAAAGATTGCCCAAATTTCAAAAGAAAGAACAAAACGTACAAGGCCACATGGTCCGATTGCAGTGATGAGGAAGAGGAAGGAGCAGAACAGACTGAGAATTCTCTCTACTCTAATAATTTTGCAAATTGTCCTCTTAATGAATATAAATGTTTTACCTCCTCTGTACATTTCACTGATGTTGAATCCGATGCAGGTTCTCAAGCGAATGAACTATGTGATTCTGAACCAGAAGAATTCTCTGACCCTGCTGAAGAGAATCTTGTCCTCCACACTTACGCCATCGAGAAGTGTCTCAAAGCGGCGAAAATCATCAAGAAATATCAAGCTCAGACAGAGAAGATGAAGCGATTAGAACAACGATCGGCAGAACGTGAGGAAGAAGTTACTTATCTCAAGAACGAACTTCAAAATATGAGAATTCTGACCGTTGATTTGAACGAGAAACTCATTCAGTCTGACATCCAGGCAGGAAAACAAGTCAAGGATCTCAACAGTTGTCACGCTAAAATTGCTCTACTTGAACATAGCGACAAACTAAGCAAACAAGTTAGTGGTGAGAAAAACTTTAACATTGAATCCTTGCGTAATGAACTTTTTGCTTTGCAGAAACTCGTGGGAGAAAGAGAAGCCGAGATCTGTGCATTGAAAGAAGAACTTGGGAGAGTGACTGAGGAGAGTTCGTCACTACGGAGTTATTGTTCGAACATTGAAGAGAAACTCAGCAAAAGTGATGAAGTCATTAAAATGATTAATAAACCCAAATCGTCATTTGCTGAAGTTCAAAGGATGAGTCACCAACTGTCTACTATGGATCTGGGTAAGAACTCTCGTAATCTGAAATTGAAGGGTGAGATAGGCGAACCAAGTGCATATCTGAAGAAGTCTGATTTAACCTTTGTAAAAGAAGGTTATTGCATAGACGACAAGAATGGTAAGCCCAATTCGACTAAAAAACTGAGTGGAAATTCGGGTAAGAATTTTGTGCCTGTATGTCATTATTGCGGTATTCGTGGTCACATTCGACCTAAATGCTATAGAATGCATAATGATATTTATAATGGGCAAATTGTTGATTGGAGTCCGCTTGGTGTACCGTTGAAAGCACCAAAAATAAAAGTTGATTTGATAAACCATGAACAGAAAAAGATATGGGTTCCCAAAGGCAGTAAGAACATGTGTTTGTCCTCTATTATTGCCTTGAAATCCACATCTAATTCTGACTGGTATTTTGATAGTGGGTGCTCACGTCACATGACTGGTTGTAAATCAAATCTGGTTAATATCGTGTCTGTTCCCTCTAGTACTGTGACGTTTGGAGATGGTGCTCAGAATAGAGTTCTTGGAACTGGTTGTTTGAATGTGCCTGGTTTGCCTAAGCTTCAAAATGTTCTTCTTGTAGAAAATTTGAAAGCTAATCTGATAAGTATTAGTCAATTGTGTGATCAAGGCTTGTGTGTGAATTTTACTAAATCTGAATGCCTTGTTTCTGATCAAGAGAACAATCTAGTTCTTACTGGCACTCGATCTAGAGACAATTGTTACCTAGTAGAACTCGAGTTGAAATGTAATAAGTCCAGTGTTGATACGATTGAACTCTGGCATCAGAAACTTGGTCATATTAATTATCCTCACTTACATGAGGTGTCTTCTACAGGTGCAGTTCGTGGTTTACCAAAGCTGAAGAAAGAACAATCACGAGTTTGCGGACCGTGTCAAATGGGCAAGCAAAAGAGGGCCTCACACAAGAGACTGACTGAGATCAGCACGAACAGCATTATGGAACTGATGCACATGGATCTAATGGGGCCAATACAGGTAGAGAGCTACAGTGGTAAGAAGTATATTATGGTTTGTGTAGATGACTTTTCCAGATTTACATGGGTTGATTTTTTAAGGGATAAATCTGATGCTCTTGAGGCATTTAGAAAACTTGTGCTAAAACTGGAAAATGAAAAAAGAATTTGTCTTGCTGCTGTTAGAAGTGACCATGGGAAAGAATTTGAAAATCGTGGATTTGAGTCTTTTTGTGATTCCAGAGGGATATTTCATCAATTTTCGTCTCCTATTACTCCTCAGCAGAATGGGGTGGTTGAACGAAAGAATAGGACCCTTCAGGAGATGGCCAGGGTCATGTTGGTATCTCAAGGGATGTCCTTAAAATGGTGGGCTGAAGCAATTAATACGGCATGTTATATAACTAACCGTGTATATTGCAGGAGAGGTACTGGAACTACCTTCTATGAACTCTGGAAAGGTAAGGCTCCTAGTGTGAAGTACTTTCATGTTTTTGGGTGTCGTTGTTACATCTACAACGACAGGGAGCATTTGGGTAAGTTTGAATCGAAAAGTGACATTGGTCAATTTCTTGGGTACTCCTCAAATAGTCGTGCTTATCGTGTGTATAATTTACGAACTGAGGTTGTATTAGAATCGATTAACGTTGTTTTTGATGATTTTTCGGATGCGGCTGTTATTCCTAATATGTCGAAAGTTGACGTCAGTAGTGGAAAGAAAGGTGAAGTGAATGAACCTGATAATGTTTTGAATGAAATTAAAACTGAAAACGAGGATGATGTTCTTACTCACTCTCTCAATGAATACAGTGTTCCAACATCCTCAGGAAGTCCTACTGAGTTTAGGCGTGACCCACCTGCCAAAATTCAGAAGGACCATCCTAAGGATCAAATCATAGGTGAGATAGCTGAACGTAACACTCGTGGAGTTAAACCTGATTTTAAGAAAATGGTTGGTCTGTGTCATTTTGCGTGTTATGTGTCGCGGGTAGAACCAAAAAATGCTAAAGAAGCTTTGCGTGATGATTTCTGGATTCTAGCTATGCAAGAGGAATTAGAACAGTTTGTTAGAAATGATGTTTGGGAATTGGTTCCTAGACCCTCAGATTCAAATGTGATTGGGTCAAAATGGATTTTCAAAAATAAAACTGATGAATCTGGGGAGATTACTAGGAACAAA